AAATATTTGTCACATTACAAAAATTAAGATGTGTTATGTTTTAGTAAAGGAGAGCAAGTCCTACAATCTAATTTATTCAGGCTTACCTTGTACAAAATCAGCCAGGAGACGGCAGCATAATAAAAATAAATAGTCCCATTGTCCTTCAGCAGAATTCAGACAGCATTCTTCATTCTGTCGCTTGTGTAGAGATCTTGTGTAAGTGAAAGGGGTTAAACATTAACGTGAATGTTTTCATTTAGGACTTCATCTGGCTTCCCGCAATGCTTAGCATATTTATTCTGCAGTAATGCTGTTTAGCTTCAGAAATGTCCTCTGTTTCACGATAATGAGAGAAAACTTGAGCTTCTCCACATCTCTGCTGCTGCTCTTTTAGAGACAGCCTGTAAAAGACTGAAATCAGACTTTCAAATAAGTAGAGTACATTGCGGATGATTATAAATAGTATTGCTTTACTTCAGAGGCTTTAACCTCTGCACTGCTAACGGAGCATGCTGGATGATGAGAACTGAAAGGAAACAAACCCTCTTCTCCTCCTCCTCCCCTAGTTCTTAACTGTTTGCCTGCTGAAACTTTCCAATTTGCAGCAAATAAGTACAGCAAAGAATTGCCTCTGGTCATTTCTAGTAGCTGGAAGCTTAAAAGGTAATAAATGAAACATCTCCTTCCAAAACCGAATGTTTACTGTGTTACTAGTTTTATAAACGTTCTTGGAGGTTTTAATAAGTAAAAAGTTAACAGCTTAAATTTACTGGCATTAGTAAGCTTTGAGGTTCTAGAAAGGAGTAAGAAGGCTGGTATATTTGGGACACATTCAGATAAAAATAACATGTTGGTCAGAAATAAATAGAAATAAAACCTCAAAGTAAATTAAGGCACAGCTGCAAGTATGGCAGATAAAGTCAATGGCAATTTTGTAAGGGAGGCTCTGTAAATAGAGGCTTCTGCTTGGACAGTATTTTTGTAGTAGGTGCTACAACTTCTGAGTGCAAGTTCGCGTTCTGTGCATTAGTATGTAGGAGACTTTCCACTCTTCCCAGGTTATCATTTACTCCTTGCTCCATTGTATGTCCGAGTGGGGCGGCAATGTCAAAAACTGTGTTCTTCAAATCTTACGCTGTTGAACTTCTAATGAATAAACCTCTGGAAGAGCAGTTCTCTTAAAACATGTTTTTAGTTAACTGGTACAAGAGACAATAATCTTTCATACCTGAGCTTGTGTGACTGGTAATTGAGGGGTGATATGGTCCTGGGTTGGATAGGATGCCTGTTCAATCCTCTTCCTAAATACTACCCTGTTTAAAGAGGGACAGTCAGGTTGTGGTCATACGTGTTCCATAATCTGGTGGGAATTGTTCTGGAACAGTATTGATGTGTTTATGCATTTCCTAGTAATGGTCAGATTTAGGAGGACTGCAGGAGTTAACTTACTGTTCATTTTCTTGGTTTTGGCTGCCGCTGGCAACAAAAGCGCCATGCGGCCGCCCCTCTCCCCGCCGCGGTGCGGAGGAGAATGGAAAGAAACAGGCAGAAACTGGTGGGTCAGGATAAGGGCAGTTTAACAGAACATCAAACCACCCCCACCGGAACCCAGCGTGACATCACATGGTATGGAATACCGGGCTCTGTTTGCCAGGTGGGGTCAGCCCCCACCCCCCGGCTGTGCCCTTTCCTGGAGTCCGGTGAAAATTAACCCTGTCCTGGCCAAACCCAGGACATTCATAATTTGGGAAAGAGATTTCAGGTTTCTCATAAGACATTAAACATTGATTTAAACATTTTTTTGTTGTTTATTTGTATCATATTAAGACTGGAGTAGTCATGGATGGAACTACATCTTAGATGCTGTACCAAAAAGAAAAAAATCACTCTTGTCAAAAGTAGTCTACATCCAGAGCCGAGGTACAACCGTTGTCTTATGTAGCTGAAACTTAAGAAGAAATTGTAAAGTTTAGAATTCAGGAAATCATCTTAAATGAAGATTTCATTATTACTTAAATAAACTCTTATATTTTATTCTCTAAGATAAGAAACTATCCTACCAAATTAAAATGACTTGAAATTTGGAAGGTCTTCATTTGAAAAAGTAATTTTGTTATTTCTTTTACTTGTTGAAGTTTATAAGATTACATTTATGCCTAAACTAATCTGTTTTTTACAGTTTATAACACATTTATTTTTCTTATCAGTTTGTCTTGAGGTTGTTTTTTGTTTTGCTTTTTTGTAAAGTTGATTTTTTTGTGTGTGTGTATGTATAGACACATCAGACTTTGAAGACTTTTTGATCATATCTGCACGCCCTTTAAATAATTCCTTAATGCAAGCCTGTTAAGCCATTTAGATGTAAACAGTTTGGAACACACTGTTCTAATTGGATGCTGAAAGGGCTTTTAGACAAAAGTCATGCTGTTTGTCCAGCATCTTCTTCACTTAGCATCCCACTCTTCTTCAGTTACAGACTGAACATTGCACTCGGATCTGCAAGCTGCTGTTCTAGTGCTTTTGTCCATTTCAGAATAGTTTTCAAGTTCAATCTCATTTAGGAATGTCTTCTGTTCAAGGTGCTGCAGAAACATCAAGGAACTAGAGCAAGTACCTTCATATGTGTTTAAAGTCCCAATATAAACAAGGTACAGCAAGGCAGACCAGTGATATCATAAAACAACATCTGCCCCAGGAGACCTTAATCTGAAGGAACATTTTTTCTGAGTTTGCAAGACTGAAATGTCTTTCTGCTTTTTATCTCAGTGTTTCAAAATGTTGAGATGAAAATCTTTCTTTTTTGCATGAAGGGATAGTGAAATTTTTAAAAAACCATAATTAAAGCTTGGCATTCAACAGTATTGGGAATTAAAAAATGTTTAGTGCACATGTGTGATGCAACAACAAATCGTACCTACTGGAGTCAGTGAAACCTGGGAAGGTGGAGTTGGTTCTATGCCTATAACTTGCTGCACTTAAAGTATGTTTGGAAGGGTATGGTCTATGTAATACAACCTGGCTGTTGTCATGGCAAAAAAAATTTCTGTTTCAGTGAATGGAAAGAGGACGCTGTCTTTGTTTCTGTGTTTCTTGTAAATACTTTTCAATTTAGAACAGTCCACCTGTGTTTTCCAGATGGGAACCTGGATTTGCTTGCTTTTTCAAAACACATTTATTGAAATTGGAGCCCTTTGTCAAACTTTTACTTGGAGGAAGCATCCACTTGTTTTTCTGTGCTTAACAGAATAAGTTTCAAGAAATTTTTGCAGAAATTACTTTTTAAATCACTAGCCTATAGGAGGGTGCCAGTCTTTCATGCCGTTCAGAAAATGCCCCCCTAGAAATGAATGTGTAGGGCTGCTTTAGAATGAAGACAGCTGCCCGTTGCTCCTGCCTCAGTATGAAGACTAATTGTCTGTCTTCATTTTCTGGACTTGTCACTGGCAAGTGTCTGAGATCATACCAAGCTGGTAGTTCTAACTCTAGCTTGTTGAGTAGCAATGGAAAAATTTGGGCTACTCACCCATTTCTTATGTGTGACTTCTTATTCTGCCTAATTTACTTAATATGCATCTCTATAACCCTTGCTTCTCCTTCATAATCTCTCTGACCATTTGTGTTCAGATTCATTTTTTAAACTGTGTTCATCACTTAAGCAGACTGTAGTCAAGGTACTGTCCATGTGTCCTTTCATTTGTTTAATTCCTACTGCAAATACATGAGTAACCTTTCTAAACCTTTGCTTAGAGAACAGAAGAGTAATGGCAGAGGCAGGATTATAAACTAATCTCGCAGATTAACAGAAAGCTTCTGGATTTAACAAAAACAAAATAAAAAAGGAAATTGAGATCTTGGAAAATAAAACATTTGAGATGTTGGAAAAGTAAACATCATGGTCAACGCGCTGGCTTCACCAAATGATTGAAAATGTGCACAGTGAAAAATCTGTGTCTTCAACCAGACAACAACTGTGGAATTACATGAAGCACATTACATGCATTATCCAGGTTAATTTATAAATGTACTTGGAAACTTGGTAGTGTTTAGTAAATCATATGAAGGACAAGATTACAAGGCTGGCTTAATAAATAATGCTGCTTTTATGACCACTTTTTATCCCCATAGTCATTTAAAAAATAGTAATAATTAAAAACAAACAAAAACAAACAAACAAAACCCCAACAAAAACAGGTTTTCTTGTCTAGCTGTTGGGCAGAAAAATGCCCTGGTGCTGTCTGTTCTACACGCAGAGAAATAACACCTTTGGTGGTGTTCTAGTCAGTGTAAAGGAACTGCTCCCATCAGTTGTTGTTCTTGTATTACAGTTCTAGAGCAGAATGGCGTAATGCTTAGAGCTTAATGAAATGCATTCAGAACTAAAAAAATCAGAAAGTACTTTAATGTTTTGGGTTTTAGCTATGGGGTTCAGAAAATTGAGTAGGTCCTAGTTAGGACTACTTTGTTTAACCTAGTCACTGTACATTTTATGCTAGTAAAACAAGGAACCCAAGAACAGAAAATACACAATGGGACCTTTTCATTAAGGAAAAAAAAAAGAATTAAGTGTTGTTTATAAGAGACTGATAGTGAAATAAATATGCAGTTGCATGGAATAGGGCTTTGAAGAACAAAATATATTCATATTTCTGAAATTCTTTTAGAATATGCTGTGCAGATTGATACGTGAGCTGATTTTAAATGTGATTATCAAAAGTTCACAATTCACTAGTAAGATGAGTGTTTATTCTCCTTTTCGTGAAGGGTAATGCTGTCAATCAGTATTATTTTGCTCTGTGGTGAAATCAACTGAGATTTTCCCTTTGATATTTTAAGTGAGAAGATGTATTAGACTGTATTGAAAGAGAAGGAACTATTGGAAAAGACACAGTGACAAGGGGAAGTATTGGAGAGCTCCTTGGAGAGGTTAAACACAGTATTAATTCTAACAAAGGTTCACCAGCATAAAGATCTTGAAAAAAATACTAATTTTGTCCTCTTCCCCCCCCACCCCCTTGCAGTGTGGTGTTCACTTTCAAGAGGAAGATGTGATTATCCTTAATGGCAGTAAAGAAGATGTGGAAGTATTGAGAAAAAGGATGGAGGATAGAAGACTTAAAAGTAAATTAGAAAAGGTAATATTTTTGTACATTGTTTAAAGCAAAATGGAAATAATTCTTGTCTGTAACGCAATCTGCTCTTAGATTGCATAGCTTTGTCTGATAATCTTTATGCAGATTGAAGGATTTACTCAGTAAGCTGTGTTGTACTTCAGTGCTACCTTTATAAGTAATGAGATTGTGTGCATATTTTGCTAATAGCATATTCACGTTCTGTGTACTGAAACTTTCTTTTGACTAGCAGGCAGTGCATAGTGCTCTGAAAATCACAGAACTTAATGCTATGGGTAAATGGACAGTGTGCCAGCTCTACTTGAGGTTTTTCTTCAAAGAGCTTGTGTTAGTTAATTCCAGTAATGACCAACATCTGCCCTGTATTACATAGGGTAGTTCCTGGTGGTAGGTTGTTGGTTTTTTGGTCTCTAGGTATACTCTACTGGCCACTGTCTGTCAGAAACACAGTACTGGAATATGTAGATTCCTGGTCTGATTGTATAAGACCACTGTTTGGAAACTTTGTCAGTCCTGAGTGATCACTGGTGATGCTAATTCCCACCACGCTCTTGACATCTTTGCATTTCTTTTTTTCTTTTTCGTCTGACCAGGGAAAATGCCATGGAAATAAAGTCATTGCAGCTCTACTATATACTGTATACTACTGCTCTGTGAGGTAGTAGTTGTTCTGTTCCACTGTACTGTCAAATCACAGTTCTGCACATGGGACTTTTTTTGGTGTTGCTATTTTTTCTGAACTGGCGTTGCTGTTCTGGAGGATGACAAAGCAAGCAAACGACTTTAGTGTTGACTCAGTCCAGAGTGCAGACAGATTTAGCTGAATCTCAAGAGTGTGAGTCACCATTGTTTGACACACTCAGCAGCTGAGACTTTAGATGGAGGTTGATCATCTCACCCCAATTACTGCGCTTGATTTTTGTCTGCCTGTAGGATTAGATGGCATACAAATGTTTTCCTAGATTATTTTCAAACAAATGCTTCTTGCTTACCAGCAAGCATATGATTCCTTGTCATCATAGGGTCTGTATTCATCTGTACCAATACAGCATCATTGGGCCTGGGCAATACGACAAAGTATGGTTACCTGTTCTGTTTCCTCTCTGTTCATAGCCTCTGCGCTTAGTGTAGAGTGCAGAGAACCAGAGTTGTTCTGGTGTAAGAAAAATACTCTAAATCTTACAGTGTCTCTTCAGATGGTGGGGTGTTTCTCTTTTTTTTTTTTTTTTTTTTTTTTTTCCCAGTAGAAAGAATTTTAAAGATAATCTGAAAACAGAATATTGCAGATCCCAATAGAGGAGTAACCAGCCCAAAAGCAGTGGTCATTTGCAATTGATTTTAATTAGTAAGGTAGCCCTAACAAAGCACCTGTAGCTTTAGTTTGAATAATCTGGAATAGTCTGAAAGCTGGTGCTGTCCCCAACTTCTGCACAATAAAGAAGTACCAAAGTGTGCTGAGCAATTCTGCCTGTTACAGTGTCAGCACAGTTGCTCGTGGGGGCAGACAAAAGGAGATCGAGCTTCGGCCTTTGGGCTCTGTATGCCTTAGCTGAATATGTAAATATTTTTTGTTTGTTTAGTGGAGGTTTACATTACAGGCAGCTACAGTATTTGCAAATCTTTCAACAGGCCTCTTCCATTTTGTCCTCAAGTTCTGATGGCTTTTTGCAATACAGCCTTGCCTTGGCTCACCAGCTGAGTTTTTCTGCAGCTAGAACCAGTCTCCTCTGCTGTCACTAGCGCCATTCGCTCTAATCTGAGCTCTGTGAGCTCCAGTCGCAGCATCCGAAGGCCATGTCTAGGCTGGAGTCTGTTGGCAGTGCTGTTCAGACCTCTTCCTCAGTTCCTGCTCTCAGCCAGGGAGCAGGCTGAGCGGACCTGCTGTGCTTGGAGCAGGACGCACAAACTCCTTTCCTTTATACCTGTGAGGCAAAACGTCAGGAAGATGCAGCTAGTGCTAGTATGAAAAATTATTCTAGCTTAGCTATGTTGTATGTGCCCATGATGAAATATGTGTAATATATATTCATTATGTATAATATATATGCGTACATATATTTACAAACATCTCATAATTCCGATGCCAGGTCCTGCGAGGTAACTTTTCTTCTTAAATGGTAGAAGCCACCATAATAACAATGGTGGAAGCACCCTGAGAAGAGGTTTCTCAGGTACGCTGAAGACAGGAGATCCAAGCTTGCTTTTAGACTAGTAACCCTCTGCCACCACCTCCTGGCTAAGCTTTGCAGCAACATGTCATACGGCATTTTTTTCCTCAAGCATTAATTAATCATATGCTTGACAGCACGGGTTCTCCTAATTTTTATAACACACTTAAATATATTTGTTTTCTTTGAGTTTTTGTAGCTTTCTTGAAATACGTACACCATTCTGAATGTATACAGAGTCATCTTCTGTGATAATAATGCTAATGACTGTTTTAATACATCTTTCTTTTTCAGCTTGGCATTTATGTAATCAAAGCCAGTAATGGGATTCTTGTTGCTGTTGTTTAGTTTTTTGTGTTTTTTAATCTGGACAAACATAAATTAACTTGGAAAATCTGGTCCACAGATGCTTTTTAAAAAAACTTAGATTAACTATTTGCATCTTTTTTTACCAAGTAATCCTGCAACAGAGGGGCCCACTTATTGAAAGTTACCCAGGAGGGTTTTTTTATTAACTAAATAAAATTAAGTGGATATGAGATGCAGGTTTATTCAAAAATCTTTATTGAAAAACATCTTTATTGATTACGGTTAACTGTGTCCTGTTTAATGTCATGCAATTTACTGTCCTGCCTTGTGGGTTCAGAGTATCAGATTGCCTTAATTAACATAACACACACACCCCCTGCAAAGTATACAAACCAAAATACCATCTCCAGATAGTTTAGTTTTGGCCTACACGATTTTCTTTAAGGAGCTTTCAAGGCTACCAAGGTTATTATTTTTCCATATAGAAATAATACCAAAAGTGTGGAGCAGTACTGTGAAAGGAAGAGTTCCACTGTATAAGACATAAAAATGTACTAAGTGGAATTGTGTGTCTATCAAATAGAAGTTGGGAACTGTATATTCTTTCTGTACATTACCAGATTTCTGCTTGTGTTTTTTCAGAAATCCAAGAAATGTAAGTCAGTGGAATCAGCTTCTCGGCAGGATCCCACTGAAGGTAATGTCACAGCTACAGATCATGTGTAGCCTTCTGAGTCATGATGCAGATTCATGATTTCATTTTTTTTCTTTCATAGATTGTCCAGGTCCATCAAAAGCTAAGACTGAAAAGAACTGTATCGATTCCAGTTCTGGGGAAAAGAGGCGGATTATCTTCACCAAAAGTTCGGGTTGGTGTTTATTCTTTAATCTAAATGTGAAAAATGTGAACAAATAGTTCTGCTTTGATAAATACTGTAGGAGAGATCCTTCTCTGTCTATTTTGTACTAGGTTTTCGGAAGCTACCCTCTCACTTCCTTTTTTTTCAGCCTTTCTCAGTAATAAAAGGTCAACTGCTGTCTTCAAGGGAGCCATAATGTCGCAGCACACTTCTTCAAAGAGCTCCCTCTTTCAAAAGTCTGTCCTAAAAGGCTGCCTTTCCATGCTGGGGTAGGAAGCTGCCTCATGAACATGCACAAAGCTCCTTGTTCAGCAGAAACTGTAGTCAATTTGACTTTTTCTTAAAACAGAGCTTTGTTTTACAGTCTGCAAAATCTACAAAACTGACTCTATAGAAAGTGTGCAAGGGCTTCTGTTTATCTGTTTTTCCTTATTCTGCCCGGTTTGCCTTTGTCCCATCTGCTATCCATCATCCTGTACTTTGAGTAAATAGTCAACAGAGTAGGGACCGAGTACTAGTTATATTTTCACAAAGTACCAAAGACATCAAGGTCTCTGCTCACCCTTGTGACTGGCAAGTGCTGTAGGGATGCGGATAACTAATAAAAATAATAAATGCTTTTCACCACGTTGCCTTTTTTTTTTTTACCGTGAAACAAGCCAGATTTGCTTGTTTGTGTCATTCCAGTATTGCTGTGCTTTAAATTGGTAGGAAGCAACTTGAATTAATGCGATTAGAGATTCTTATTCACACAGTGATATAGTTGAGGGTTTGGTGTATCTGTTTCATTGGCTAGGAGTTAGTGTGAGGAGAATTAGTAGTTGTTTTTCTTAAGTACAAGTGGTCAAAACATCTGTTACGGTAGTTTATTTTATTGAAGTGTATTAAAATGCCCCGAGCTGATGACTTGACTTCTAGTCCTCTGTTTTAGCTGCTAATTTGCTCTATGTCACTGGGAGCACTGGAATATAGCTTCAGGAAGTGCTGATGTACCTACAGTAGCCATGCAGCTACGAGTAAACTTGGCAGTCCTTTAGTCCAAAGGATGGTGCCCTCTCTCTGTGTGATATGTATTATTTAATGTCTCCAGTTCATACTGATGTTTTCATACAGAACTATAAGAAGTTTCAGTTTGAAGTCAGTCTGGGGTTTCTGTGTGAAGTATTCAATCGTATACATTACAGCCACAGGAACAGTCAATATAATTTGTTTGAAGAATCTGAGAATAGTTAAATGATGAACTGTAGGTAACTATGTGAGAAGCTGGGGGAATTGCCCTCCGAAATGCCTTAGCTGCCCCCTGCTGTCTGCTTTTATAAAGGATAGGCCTTTAAAAATATTTCATTCCAGATGATTATAATTGCTCTTGGATGTTCAGGAACCTAGCAATTCTAATAAAGTTTGATGTATTTTTATTTTCTGAGAGCGTAAAAGAAAAAATATGCTTTTTTGAAACATCAGATCATTGGCTTATGTTTCTGGCAGCAGTTATATTGACCAGCAAGAGCTTAAGAGGAGAGAAGGAAAATAAAGGAAAATCCGTGGACTGAGCAATGCCAGTAGCATAGGAATTAATTTGTGATTGTGACACCCTAGGGCTTCTACTCTTGCAGGATACGTATTCATTCTTTCAAATCCAGTGTTTGGTAATTCTTTCCAGACAACTATTGGTGGAATTAAAAGCAACATTCTGAAAATATGAAAAGGGTCTGATCTATGATGGTTTAGGACTGCACGTATAATTCCTATGGCTACATGCAGAAATCAGTTAAGTGCAGTTTGAGACAGGCTCCCTACTAGCTATTTGCATGCCATTGTGCCTAACTTAAACTAAATATCTAGTTTATGCAAACTTCCATGTGTTGATTTCTTTGCACGAGAGACTTGGCACATGCTTTTTAGGATGCTGTCCTTTGACTTTGGAGATGAAATAGCTCTTAAGGAAGAGAGCCTGGGGTTTTTTTGTAGCAGTAGGTACAATACACTGAGAGGGATGGGCATTCTGCTATCCCAAGTATAAAATGATGCAGACCATTGTTATTGGTCAGAAATGACTTTGCAAAGAATAAAGGAAGGAGATAGATTCCCTGGGGAGAGTGTGTCACAGGTGTAGCTTTTGTCATTTGATAGTTCATTTCTAAACAATACTTCAGGGTGGTGGAATACTTTCGTGTTTCTTTCTTAAGACTAGGGTTCAGAGCCGTTTTTCGGTTAGAGGAATAAATATTGTCCATACTGATTTACAGTGCAAGGAATTTACAAAATTAGGAAAGAGTTCATCTCTCTCCAAGGTGTCTAAATGCATTTTGAGCATAAATTTGAAAAGCTAGGAACAGATTTGCTGTTAGGAACATGTTTGCTGTTGAGTACAATTACAGGATATATTTGTGATAGCTCTGAAAAGATGTATATACTTCATCTCTGTACATATTATCTTTTAAATACTTGTCTCCTTCTTTATTTCAATACTTTTGTCAATTTTAAGCAGTTATGCGTGCTTCATTCTATTCATTTTTCTCTTTCAGATAACAGAAATTCATCTGTACCAAGAAAAGTCAAGAAGGCTTCTTCTGCTGCTACGAAGAGATCCATTGCAGACAGCGAGGAGAAGTCTGAGGCATACAAATCTATTTTTACATCTCACAGCTCAGCAAAACGTCCAAAGGATAAGTGTTCCAATTGGGTTACTCACACAGCATACTGTTTCTGAAACAATGAGGAGCCTGATAGTAGCATTCATTACTGCTTTCCTTCCCTAAGGCTTTTTCTGTACAACGCTGATACAGAACTTTTGTTGTAATCTGATGTTATCTGGAATTATTCTGTTTGTAAGTTGTTTATAAACTCGTGAATAACTAATAAATTTGTAGTAGTTGCAACTTACATTACATAAAAAATAGATCACCAGAATCCATGTTGCATCAGCAGACCTCATTCTGAAATGATGGATTATTTGCACAAAAATTTTTCTTCTCCCAGTTGGACGCTGTTGTTCTTAGTCACACTAACTAGTGTCCTCAGGAGCAGGGGAGAGGGTAGAAGGATCTGCCTACTGTCCCCTTCTGTTGATATTTGCCACAACTGTAATTACAGTTTTCAACATATTAGTACAGAAATTCGAACTTTTTGAAACTTTCTGACAGTAAAAAAAGCAATAGTGCTTTTCTTTTGTACTAGCTAACTGAGGACTCGGTAGAACTAGTATATGTTCCTTAAAGGTTCTGTAGGCATTTTCAAGTAATTTACCTTTTGATGAAATATATGCAAGCATAATCATTAAAATGTTTGTACAACATTCTTCTTGTTCATGTTGTTGTAGCCTGTTTTTAATAACTGAGCATTGACTTCGAAATCATTATCTATAAAGATAAGTCTGTAATAGTAAGGCTATTTTTTTTTTCCCCAAAAAGGTTTTGGGAGTTTTCTTTGTGGCTATGTGTTTTAAAGTTAGGAGTATCAGGTCTGAGCTTTCTTTCTTTGTCAGAGGATCACGATACAGTGGAACGAAAGTAGGAGTTTCCTTACTTTTCTGCTGAAACAGTAAGGTTCTGTGTACACCTCTGAGGAGCGATTTGCCATTTTGAATTCAGCAGCTTACATGAAAATATGAGCGTTTGCGCAGGAGGAGAGAAAAACGGGTGGTGACAGAATAGGAGCAGGCAGATCTTAACTGGGTTTTTAGGGAGGAACAACTGCACACCAGTGCCGTGCGCGACAAACCCGTTGGTGGCTGATGGAGGGAACCCTGCAAGGCTGGAGTTCGCTTCTGAGAGCGTTTCACTTTACAGGCGAGTGAAATGTGCCGTATGCACAACATCTGTAGTACACATTTTTTTTATTTTATGACATAACTTTCTTAGCAGCAGACAATTATTTGACTCTTAATTGCTGGTTACGGAAAGATGCTAAGCATCGTATATCATTCAGGTTTGCTTGTATATTTATGCTTTTTATCCCTGTGCTCTTGTCATATCACCATAACAGTTCATGTTCAGCTGAACAGATATACAAGTACTTATTTGTCGGTGTTATTCAACTTTTTTATGGGCTTTCTGTTGACCAATTTATTCTTAGCTTTTTTCCCCAAGCACAAGAATCCTTTTTAAATGTTAATGTACCAAAGCAATGATTTAGTGGCTGAATATGTGAATCTAATAATATCTAAATGAAATGACCAG